TATATATATAAAGGGAAAGAGCAGGCAAGCAGTAGGGGCTTGTTGCACAGTTCGCTGCACACGCGCACAGAAGCACTATATAAATATATAAATATAGATATGTATATATATATATATATGTATATATTGAATGTTAGTATAGCACAGGTTGTGGTTGGTGTACAGTGGTTGGATTTTGTGGATTACATCAGATTACATTACATTAGAGGACGGTGTATTGCTCGTCGTGTCTCATTATAAAAAGATATACTAAGTATTTATATTTACATATTTATTTATAATAGAAGTGACACACCTTATATATATATATATATGTATATATACCTTTAATGGAACTGCTCTACATATACTTCTAAAAATGCAGCAATAGGGAGAGCTGTTCAACTGCACTACATGTGTTGAAGGGGTGCATGGCTTCACTTTCTGGAGAAGTACATCGATAATAATTAAGATAATAATATTAATTATAATGAGAGTAATAAAGAGGAAAAAAAGAAATAATAGAAAATAATATTTGCAGGACAAATGCACTGAAATGTTCGTGTGCAGCTTTCATAAGTAGTAGTAATAAACTGCATTGAGGAGTTGTGCTCTCAATTTCTGGGTAATTGAATAAAAAAGTAAATATTTAATAACAAATAATTAATAATTACATCGAAATGTTTTATTTTGCATGCAATAAAATGCATTTTTATGAAAATGCATTTGAAAGTCAACAGCTGGCGGGCGGCTCAGCACGACTTGCAAACTTTCTGTTGAAATTGGAGTTTCTTTTTGCAGAAAGTTTATCAAATAAAAAACGAATAAATAATAAACTTTTGTACATTTATATTTACAATCTTTGTTACAATTAATTAATTTATTCTTTAGCTTTTCCTTCTCTGCTGCCTGTACCGCGGTCGCGCCGGGGCCCCTCGCCGCCTCTTTCGTTGTGCAGACAGTAGCTAAGCCTCAGCGTAATAAATATCTCAGGAATATTTAAATAAATATTTATTTATTTATTTTTATGTTTAACAAATTTGTTAAAAAGTTGAGAAATGAAGGACTCGTAGCCCCTCGTGAACAGTTCGCTTGTCTGCTGCTGGCTTCTGTCTCGATTGCAGCCAAAATGGTCCAGGCTGCTGCTGCTGCTGCTGCTGCTGCTGCTGCTCCCGCTGCTGCTGCTGCTGCTGCTGCTGGTGCTGCAGTTCGGAATGGACGGCTTAGCCCTTGCTCGCCGTCTCCGCAGACTGAATGCTGAGTGGCGTTGTGCGTTGGCAGCTGCAGCAGCAGACCAGACGACAACCCCGCTGCAGCAAAACAAATACGAAGTTCTCTCAGTACAACTGGGGGTTTGTTTACGAGAGACTGAAGAGCTCTTATGCTGGGAACAGCCCCCTGTAGAGGGACCCCTGGGGGGCCCCTACAGCTTGATCGGCGACGCTGCAGTAGCAGCAACAGCAGCAACAGCAGCAGGAGCAGCAGCAGGAGCAGCAGCAGCAGCAGCAGCTCTCTGTGAAGCGGTTTTTTCGAAGTCTGGGCTCCTTTCAACAGCTGCTGCTGCTGCGCTGCATAAGGGGGCCTCTGATATAACTCTAAAGAAGCAAACTTTGGAGCTCAGCAGCATCCTTATACTCTCAGCCAAGCCTTTTGCCTATTCAACAGACGCAAACAAATTTGTAGAATTCACAGTACGATTGCATACACTTCTGTTGCTGCTGTTGCTGCTGCTGTTGCTGCTGCTGTTGCTGCTGCTGTTGCTGCTGCTTGTGCTGTTGCTGTTGCTGCTGTGGCTGCTGTTGCTGCTGTTGCTGCTGTTGCTGCTGGTGTTGTTGTTGTTGCTGGTGCTGTTGTTGCTGTCGCTACTATTGCTGGTGCTGTTGCTGTTGAAGCTGCTATTGCTGTGGCTGTTGTTGCTGCTGCTGCTGTTGTTGCTGGTGGTGCTGCTGCTGTTGCTGCTGCTGTTGCTGCTGCTGCTGCGGCGGCCTCCGACTGTCCCATGCATGCATCCCTATCAGCAGCAACAAGAAAGAGTAATAAGACAAAGATAGAATAAGTAAATATATATATATATATATATATAGACCCTAAAAGCCTCTTAAATGTCTCTTTTTGTCTCCTTTTGTCTCCTGTCTCCCTTCTCAGGAGACATGTCTACACCTCTTGTTCGTGGACCCCTCACACAAAATCAAACAATCAGCAGCGCGCCTTCTGAGATCCGCCTTTGCATCCCAAACAGAACAAAGGGGCCCCAAGGGGGGCCCCCTGGGGCCCCATGCGGGGGGCCCCCTAAGTACCCTCGTGGGGGCCCCCTTGAGTACCCTCATAGGGGCCCCTAAGGAGGACACCCTAGGGGCCCCTATGAGGGCCCCCAAAGATACTCCTGTGGGGGCCCCGGAAGGGGCCCCTCTGGAGGCCCCCGAACAGACCTATGTGGGGGCACCCCTAGGGGATCCTGTGGGGGCCCCCCTAGGGGACCCTATGGGGGCCCCCCTAGGGGTCCATCTGGAGGGGGGCCCCATAGGGGTTCATGTGGGGGGGGCCCCCCTGAGGGGCCCCCCTGAGGGTTTGTGGGGTGGGGGGTGTGTGTTAGGTGAGGGTGGTGATGGTGGTTGGTGGGTGGAGGGATTGGTGCGGCGTTTGTATGAAGAGCTGAGAGACAGCGGAAGGCGAGGGACAGCGACTGTGCGCGCTGAGCTGCTGCTGCTGCTGGGTAGGTGGCTGCAGTAAAGAGACAGAGAAGAGACAGAAAGGAGACAGAGAAAGCAACAGAAAGGAGACAGAAAGGAGACAGAAAGGAGGCTGAAAGGAGACAGAGAAGGAGCACAGACGCAGAGAAAAGGAGACAGAACCGAAAGACAAACTGAAAGAGGAGACAGACAAAGGAGACAGAGACAGAGACAGGGGCAGAGACAAAGACAGAGACAGAGACAGAGACAGACAGAGACAGAGAAAGAAAAAGAGACAGAGACATAAAAAAGAAAAAAGAGACAGACACAGAGACAGAGACAGAGTTTGTTAGAGTGCTGCACTGACAGAGACAGATGCTACCTGTCTCCTTACTTGGTTTTTACTTTGTGCATTCTGTCCTCGGGGGAATGCGAAGACACTACAGCAGCTGCTGCAGCTGATGCAGCAGCTGCTGCTGCTGCCGATGTTGCTGCTGCTGCATCTATTCCTGCTTGCGTTGCAGCAGAAGCAGCTGCTCTTGGGTGCTTGCGCAGCAGCAGCAGCAGCAGCAAACTATACTTATTGTTCTGTTTCTGTTTCTGTTGTTGTGTCTCTTGCAGCTGTGCTGCTGTGCCGTCTGCAGCAGCACCCAACTCTTGCTTCTCCTTGGTTGCTGCAGCTGCTGCAGCAAATCGCCTGTCGCCTGGACCTTACAGCAGGGGCCTCGCTGCGGAGCCCAACGGAGACACTGGGGGCCCTAGAAGCTCTTAATGAGTTGCTGCTGAGGGGGCCCCCACCTGTTATCCTTGCTGCTCTGCTGCCTTCTGCTGCTTGGAGGAGACTGTATGCCTTCTTAGCTGTCGTAGGCACTCAAGGGGCTGCTGCTGCAGACGTAACAGGCGCTGAGACGCACCAGCAGCAGCAACAGCAGCAGCAGCAGCAAGTGTCTCTTCAAGTTGCTGCCTTATCCGTCTTGGCAGAAGGGGCGGAGACATTTGTCTCCTTCATCGATAGAGACATCGCGCTAGAATTTAATGCGGGCCTTGAGGAGACAGGACATGCAGCCTCCTTCAAGAAGACACCAACCAGCAGCAGCAGCAGCAGCAGCAGCAGCAGCAGCAGCGGGGAGAAGTACATAAGGAGGGACGGGAGAACTCTGTTGGAGAGACTGCTGGCGCTGACTGTCTCTTCTCATTCTTCTGTCTCCACCGCAGCCACTCGCGCGCTGCTGCGTATAATGATTCAGCTGAGCCGCCGCAGCAGAAGCAGCAGCAGTAGCAGCAACAGCAACAGCAGCAGCAGCAGCAGCGGGGGGTTGGAGTGTGGTGTCTCCTTGCAACTGTTTGGTTCCTGTGTTCTATCGGAGTTAATTAAAGCGAGTTTGCTGCCTGAGGAGACATTAATTTATTCATCAGCAGGTTGGTGGCGGCAGTGCTGCTGCAGGGCGCAGCTGCTGCTGCCGTGTCTGCTGCTGTTGCGGGACCGTGAACAGCAGCAGCAGCAAGGCATTGCTGCTGCTAGGGCCTGTCTCCTCCTCGCATGCGCCTGCTGCAGCCCCCAACGGAGACAGCAACAGCACGGTCCCTCTGTGGCGAAGCAGCTGCTGCAGCTCCTGGCAGCAGCAGGAGAGACACTTTGTTGTCTCCTGCTGCAGCAGGAGACAGGCCAGGGCTCTAATGGCTTGGGGGCTGCTGCTACTGAATGCGTGGAGCCTAAGGAGACAGCAGCAACCAAGAGACACCGCGCTGCTGCGCAGCACCCTATGCTGCAGCAGCAGCTCCCCGTCTCGTCTGGAGTGGCGACAGCAGAGAGAGGAGAAGGAGGACAGTGCAAGCAAAAGGAGACAGAAAGCAAAAGGAGACAGGAGACATCACCATTCATATTACCTGCTGAGTTATGCCGGCTGCTGCAGCAGGTTGCTGTCTCCTTATTTCAATTGCATACACTGGCGGGGGCCCTACCGCAGGCGCTGCTGCCGGAAGCTGCAGCAGCTCTCCGCAGCGGGGTACGCGCCCTGCTGCTTGCAGCAGCAGCAGAGGATGCTGCAGCAGCAGCTGCTGCTGCAGCTGCTGTGGGTGCAGCTGGTAGTTCTGCTGCAGGAGCTACAGAGGAGACGGAAGAAGAGACGAAAGCAACGAAAAAGGAGACAAAGGAGACACAAAAGGAGACACAGGAGACAGCATCAGGAGAGGAGATCCTGCAGCACGAAGGGGCCCCAAAGGCAGCCCTTAATGCTTTAATTAATCAGTCCCTCTCACTTGCACTGCACGAAGAGACAGAGAGACAGACATCTCCAGCTGTCTCCGTTGGCCTCCTGTGGGGTGCTGTCTTGAGGCAGGAAGGAGACAGATACACCTGGGAAGCTTCAGATGAATGCAGCAACGACATCAGCAGCAGCAGCAGCAGCAGCAGTAGCAGCAGCAGCAGCAGTAGCAGCAGCGTACGGGAGAAGCGCCCGCGGGAGGAGACAGGTGAACGCCGTTGCAGGGTTGGTGCTGCGGTGTCTCCTTTCAGCAGCAGCTGGCGTCTGTCTCTTTGCTGCTGCCTGTTAGAGCAGATTTTTTCTTGTCTCTCCCTTGGGTTGCTCCCCACAAACAAGCAGCAAAAGGAGACAGCCAGCAATCTGCGGAACCTCGTGGAGGCGCTGCTGCTGTCTCCTGGGGGCGGAGCAGCAGAGGAGACAGCTGCTGCCTGTCTCCTGCTGCAGCTGAGCAACGAGGTTTCTATAGATGCAAGCCCCACACAGCAGCAAACCAGAATCGACCTTCCTTCTAATCCTGCTGCAGCTGCTTCTGCTGCTGTTCCCGGCGCTGCTGCTGCAGAAGAAGAAGAAAAGGAAGCCAATAGCCTTATTGATATCACCCTACGTGCATGCGGGGAGGTGTCTCTAGAGTTGCTGCTGCAGCGGTTGGCGATTTGTCTCTGTCATATATTTGCGGTGTCTCCGCAGACACTCCGTTTGCTGCATGCTGAACGGTTTGTCTCTTCTGTCTCTTTTTTCTGTCTCCTCTATCTCTGTCTCTTTTTTCTATTGCTGTCTCCTTCTCTGTAGCCGGTGTCTCCTTTGTCTGCCTCTCTGCTGCCTTCTTTTTCTGCTTCATCTGTCTCTTTTTTCTGTCTCTGTTCCCCTTTGCTTTCTGTCTCTTTTGTGTCTTTTTTCTGTCTCCTTTGTTTCTGTTTTTTTTGTCCCTTTTGTCTCCTTTTTGTCTCTTTTCTCTCTTTTTCTCAGTCTTTTTTGTCTCCTTTTTCTGTTTCTTTTGTCTCTTTTTCTGTCTCTTTTGTCTCTTTTTTATGCTTCCTCTGTCTCTTTTTTCTGTCTCCTCTCTCTCTTATTTTTGTTTTTTCTTTAAATTACCCCACTAGAGAATCATATTGCTGGCCCCAATACAAAACAACAGGGAGATAAAGAGAGACAGAGACAGAAACAAAGAGAGACATATATATATATATATATATATATACATATATATATATATATATTAGAGACAGAGACAAAAGAGAAAGAGATAGAGAGAGACAGAGACAGGAACAAAGAAAGAGAGACATATAGAGACAGAGAGAGAAATAAGGAGAGACAGATGTGTTAGAGACAGAGACAGAAAACAAGAAAGAAAGGGACAGACATATAGAGATAGAGACAAAAACAAATAAAGATAGACAGATATATTAGATAGAGCGAGAGGCAGACAAAGAGAAAGAGAGACAGACATATTAGAGACAGAGACAGAGACGGAGATACAAACGGAGACAGACACAGACAGACACGGAGACATAGAGGGACAGAGACAGACATATTGCAGATAGAGAGACAGGAGGAGACACCAACATAGGCAAGGAAAGCGACAGAAAGAGACAGAGACAGAGACAGAGAAAGTAATGAACGAGGAGAGAAGCAGCCAGAGACGGAGACAGACATATATATGCACTCTAAGCCCCAATATGAAGCAGCAAACTGTCTCCTCTATCTGTCTGCTTTCCTGCGCAGGGTAGCTGTCTCTGCTGCGCTGCTGCGCTCAGCGCTGCTGCAGCCCTCAGCACCCCCGGGGCTGTTGGCGCTGCTGCTCGCGCTGAGGCCCTTCGTTGAGGCCTGGGCAGTAGGAGACACTGCAGCAGCAGCGAAGCAGCAGGAGCAGGAGCAGCAGCAGCAGCAACAGCAGCTGTCTCCTCACCACAAGCGAAGCGCTCTAGCCACGAGCAGCTCCTGGAGCAGCAGCAGCAGCAGCTGCTGCTGCTGCAGTGGCTGCGCTTGCACTTTGTGCAGCGACAGCTGCGCTTTAGGGCGAGCGCATGCATCGCTTGCACAGGCTCTGCTGCTGCTAGAAGCAGCAGCGCCTTCTTTAGATTCAGCAGCAGCAGCAGCAGCTACTGCGCTGCTGCTGACAGCCCCAGACACCTTTCTTTTCTCGAGGCCCCCCCTCCTCCTTCGCATCTTAAAACTGGCGCTGCTGCTGGGTAGACACGACCTGCAGCTCGCTGCTGCTGCAGTCAGTACTCTCCACCGCTGGCAACAGCAACAGCAACAGCAACAGCAACAGCAGCAGCAGCAGCAGCAGCAGCAGAAGGCTCAGGCACGGGAGGAGCAGCTGCTTTGGGAAGGGGACTTGCTGCTGCAGGAGACGCTGCCTTTGCTGCTCCCTTTTCTGTTGTCTCCTAAAGGAGTTGAGGGGCCGTCTGCAGCTTCTCGTGATGCACTGATGCGGATTGGGGTGTCTAGGCAGCTTGGGGTGTCTAGGCAGCTGTTGCATTCAAGATCTCCTTGGAAGGAATCTTTAAGCTTTCTTTCTTCGTTGTCTGTTTGCTCTTGCTCATCTGAAGCAGCATCTGCAGAGGGCTGCTGCTGCTGCAGCAGCCCTCTGGCGGTGTCAGTGCAGCAGTCTGTGCTGCTACTGCTGGCAGATGTGGGGCCCCGGGTGTCTCTGCAGCTCGCGAGGTTACCGCGTCGTCTCCTCCCCTCATCTGTCTCTCCATCTCTTGCCCTGAAGTTTGCTGAGGCTTGGATAGCAGGAGAGGCCTTCGGTGGAGACAATCAAGTGTCTCCTGAGTGCTTCTTGCAGCTGTCTCTGTGTCTCCCCTCCTCTGCGAACGCAGCAGCAGCAGCAGCAGCAACAGCAACAGCAACACCAGCCGCACCACCAGCAGCCGCAGCAGCAGCAGCAGCAACAGCTGCAGCAGCGCCGGCTCCCCCACTCTGTCTCTGTCTTAAAGGAGACAGCTTAGTGCTGCTGGCAGCAAAGGCTGCGCTGCAAGCAGCAAACAGACAAGAAAAAGCAGCACTATGCGACGTGCTTGCTGCTCTCCTCCGCTCTATCACAAACAAGGCACTCGCTGCACTCAATGCTGCTGCTGCTGCTCCTGCTACTGCAGCTGCTGCTGCTGTTGGTACTGGAGTCAGTCAATGGGGGCCAGCTGCTCCAGCAGCAGCAGGACAAGCGGCTTCTAGCGCTGCAGCGGCAGCAGCAGCAGTGGCTTTGGGGTGTCTCTACCGCGCAGTGCTGCCTTCTATCTTGGAGTTGATTGCCTCACACGATCCCGTCCCCCAGCAGGTGTTGTCTGCTGTGCTGCTGCAGCTGCAGCAAGTCTCTCTAGATGTCGCTGCTGCCTCTTCAACTGCGGCGTCGTCTCCGCCAGTGAGGGCTTAATCTGCTTGCTGCTGCTGCTGCTGCTGCTGCAACACCCACTGCTGCTGTCGCTGCTGCTGCTGCTGTCTGTCTGTGCTGCTGCAGCTGTTGTGTTGATGCTCATGCCCTTGCTGCTATTGCTGCTGCCCCCTCTCTGCTGCTGTTGCTTTTGTGATGCTGCTAATGCCATTAATTCCGTTGCTGCTGCTGCTGCTGTTGCTGCTGCCGGTTTGCTGCAGCTTGAAGCTGTCGTGGAGACACTTGCTGAGGGCCTCAGCCATCCCTTCGCCTCCCACCGTGCTGCTGCTGCTGCTGCAGCTATGGCTTTAATATGTAGGTTGCTGCGGCGGCTCAGCGTGGCGCAGCAGCGGGGTGCTGCTTCTGCTGCTGCCTCCTGGGCTCCCGCTGCTGCTGCTGCCGCTGCTGCTGCTGCAGAGGAGTCCCTGGACGCGGCAGTACAGCAGCAAAAACAAGCCAGGGATTTGCTGCTGCTGCAGCATCTACTGAAGCAGCTTCTGCTGCTGCCTGTTTGCGTGGGGTCTTCCTACTGTCGTCTGGGGGGCCTCACAGTGCTGCGAGCGCTGCTGCCTGTGGGGCCCCACATCTGCTGCTGCAGCGCAGCACAAGACATGCTGCAGGAGACAGCTGCTAGTGCCTTCTTCGGCCTCCTAAGGGCCCTCCCCAGGCCCTTGCTGAACCCCGCTGCAGCAGATGATAATGCTAACTGCAGCAGCAACAGCAGCAACGACAGAAGCAGCAACAGCAACAGCAGCAGCAGCACGACCTGCTGCTGCTGTTTTTCTGATTTGTTTGGCGATGAGGAGGCTGAAGAAATAGGAGACCCCCACGAAGCCTTAGAAGCGCAGCACTGTCTCCTTGGAGTCGCAGCTGCTGCGCAGTGTCTCCTTGAGAGATACAAAGACGTAGCAGCAGCAGCAACAGCAGCAACAGCAGCAACAGCAGCAGGAGCAGCAGGAGCAGAGAGTGGAGCGGAGACTCTCAAGGAGACAGATTCGCAGCAAGCGGAGAGGAGACAACGCGCTGTGCTGCAGCGAGAGACCTTCATAGAACAACTCATTCCCTTTGCTTTGTTAGGCCCTTAAACCCTCATCATTAAACCCTCATTCTTAAACCCTTATTATTAAACCCTCATTCTTAAACCCTTATTATTAAGCCCTTATTATTATACCCTTACTCTTAAACCCTTATTCTTAAATCCTTATTATTAAACCCTCATTCTTAAACCCTTACTCTTAAACCCTTATTATTAAACCCTTATCATTAAACCCTCAATATTAAACCCTTATTATTATTAAACCCTCATTCTTAAACCCTCAATCTTAAACCCTCATTCTTAAGCCCTCATTGTTAAACCCTTACTATTAAACCCTTACTCTTAAATTCTAACTCTTAAACCCTAATTATTGAACCCTTATTCTTAAACCCTTATCATTAAACCCTCATTATTAAACCCTTACTATTAAACCCACATTACTAAACCCTTATTCTTAAACCCTTATCATTAAACCCTTATTCTTAAACCCTTATTATTAAACCTCTTCTTCTAGACTTTGTTTTATTTGTCTCCTTTCGAATTTGCGGTTTTCCTTCATCTAAGAATAGGGGACAGTTATGATGGCTCAACAGTGAAACAGTCTCCTTGAGGGTTTAGGGTTTAGGGTTTAGGGTTTGCTGCTGCTCTGCTGCTTGCAGGTTTTCAGGCAACCCCCGTGTACGTAGCGTTTGCCGGTCTCTGCTGCAGCAGTTCTTATCAAATGTGCATGCAGCAGGCTCAGCGCCAGCAGCAGCAGAAGCAGCAGCAACACCCGCAGCAGCACCACCAGCAGCAACAGCAGCAGCGTCACCAGCAGCAGCAAGACAAACAGCTGCTTTTGCTGCTGCTGCTGCTGCTGCTGGAAATGTGCGTGTAGGAGACTGGGCCTTTAAGGCAGTTAAAGGTGCGGGTTGAGCCCCCTTCTCCGTAGCCGCTGTTCATGCAGCAAACCCTCACTATGTTGCTGCTGCTTCGTGTACATTGCTTCATGCATTGGTGGTGGTGGTGGTGCTGCTGCTGCTGCTATTGCTGCTATTGCTGCTGCTTCTGATGCTGCTGTTGCTGCTGCTGCTGCTGTTCTTGTTCGTGTTCCTGCTACTGTTGCTGGTTCTGTTCCAGTTGCTGCCGTTGTTGTCGTTGCTGCTGCTGCTTCCGTTGCTTTTCCTGCTGTTGTTGCTGCTGCCGTTCCTGCTTCTATTACTGTTGCAGCTGCTGCTGCTGCTCGTGGGAGTGCTGTTCCTGCAACTGTTGCACTTGTTGTTGCTGCTGTTGCTGCTGCTGCTGCTGCAGGGATTGAGGTGGCTCTTGAGGTCGTGCTTCAGCAGCGTTCGTGCATGCAAGCCCCAAAAGGGCCTTCTGTTAGTTTTTATCATTTAATGCAGGAATGTTGTTTGCTGCTAGATTGTCTCCTTTTTGTTGTGGAGACGTTTGGGGCTGCATGCGTTTGTCTCCTTAAAAGCTGCAGCATTAGACAGTGGCTGCAGAAGGCCCTGCAGCTCCTTTGGCTGCAAGAAGAGACAGAGACAGAGACAGAAGGAGAGACAGAAAAAGATATAAAAAAGTTTAAGGGATTGAGAAGCAGAAGAACAAAGGAGACACTTGCGGAGATAACGCTTAAACTGGGCCTACTCTGCTGCCAAGGAGACGCTTTAAAGGAGACAACATACACCCCAAAGGAGACAGCATACACCCTAAAGGAGACAGCAGATACGCTAAAGGAGACAGAAGATACCCGAAAGGAGACAACAGACATCTTAATGGAGACAGACACTCAAAAGGAGAAGACGGACACACAAAAGGAGACAGCATACACCTTAATGGAGACAGACACCCCACAGGAGGAGACAGACACACAAAAGGAGACAACAACAGACACCCGAAAGGAGACAGCAACAGACACCTCAAAGGAGACAGTGCTGCTGCTGGCTCTTGTAAGCCCGGAGCATCATTTAGTAGGCATTGCAGGCGACGAAGGAGACAGCGAGCAAACAAGAGGAGACAGAGATAGAACAAAAGGAGACAGATATAAGACAAAAGGAGACAGCAGCAGGCTGACGAAGACATCTCTGGGGACTTCTTTCTTCTCCTTTCTTCTCAACCCAACTGCCAGTGGCTTCAATGCAAAAAGCAGCAAAAGAGACAGCCTCATACAACTTGTTGCTTTATCGTTGCAGGCCTTGTGGCCTCAGTCACCTCAAGCAGCAGCAGCAGCACCACCAGAAGCAACAGCAGCAGCTGGTGTAGCACCTGGTGTAGCTGCGGTAACAGCAGCAGCAGCAGCAGCAGCAGCAGCAGCAGCAGCAGCAGCAGGTGGTGCAGCACCTTCGAGTAAGTGGAAGGCAGAGACAGACAGTCCCCAGGGCTGCCTTGCTGCAGTCTTTAAGTGCTGGCAGCAGAAAGGAGACCGAAAGGAGACACTGCTGCATTCATCTATGAGGAGGGGCCCTTGGGGGATCGTCTCCTCCCTTCTTCTCCCGTGTCTTGCTGCAGAGACAGACACCGGAGAGGAGACAGCTGCTTGTACTCTTGCTGCAGCTGTTGCTGCTTTTGTTCAGGGCCTTGAGGCCATTGAGGCCATCTACAGCAGCAGCTTCTTGCTGCATGCAGAGACAGGGGAGTTGCTGCTGCTGCCGGACACCTCCCCTGCTGCAGCAGCAGCTGCTGCTGTTGCTGCTGCTGCAGAATTGCTTCGCAGCCCAGTGCAGGGGGGACACCTGACAGAGGAGGAGACAGAAGGAGACACTTTAAACCTAATGGAGGAAGGAGACAGCACCCAGAGACGAACTCTCGCTGCCTGTCTGCTGCGGCTTGCTCTGCTGCTGCTCCGCTGCGCTGCTGTCTCCTCAAGAGACCCTAATAACTCCAAAGGCCTTGCAACAGCAGCAGCAACAACACACGCAGCAGCAGAAGCAGCACCTCCCACTGCAGCGGGCACAGCAGAGACAGCGCTGCCAGGGATAGGGGTTCCGGCAGCAACAGCAACAGCAGCAGCAGCAGCAGCAGGTGCAGCAGCAGCTGTTCCCTTAAGTGAGGAGGTAAAGGTCCTCCTGGGGATCGTCTCCTTTCCGATCCCGTTCCTGATTGGCCCTGAGGGGCTTAGCGAGAGTGGGGGGTTGTGGGTAGGAGACAGAAAGGAGACAGTTGGTGCAGTGTCTCTGCTGCAGACACTTTGGGCACTGCGATTTGCTGTCTTTGCTGTCCCACAAACTCAAGTGTCTCCTCTTTACAAGCGTCTCCTTCGGCTGCTGGAGGCGCTTGTGAGGCAGCAAATCAGAGCCCCTCGCTGCTTGGCTGCTGCTCCTATTGCAGCACAAGCAGCTGCAACAGCAGCAGCAGCTCCAGCAGCAGCAGCCGCACCGGTGGGGACAACCGCGATGCAAACAGTCCGCAGCGTCGTTCAGCAAGGAGACCAGCAGCAGCAGCAGCAGCAGCAGCTTCTGCTGCAACTCCTGTTGGATGCATTTCACCTGTGGGGCTGTTCAAGCGGCGTTGAGGACCTGCAGCAGCAGCAGCTGTTACTCGAAGCTGTCTCCTACGCTGCTGCACAAACAAAACCAACAGCAACAACAGCAACAATGACAACAACAGCAGCAGCAGCAGCAGCAAACCCCCCATTGAGTCCTTATCTGCTGTCCCATGTATGTGCGCTAGCGGATTTGTTTGCTGCGGTGTCTCACTGGGAGATGTTTATAAAAATGCTGCCCTATAGAAGAAGCGCCTTCATATTTCTTGCTGCAGCAACAACACAAATGCTGGCGGGGGGCCCCACAGTACCCATCAAGGCTCAGGCAGCAGCATTGGAGGGAGGATACACCGCAGTGATGCTCACAGACATTCTGCACGAGGCATCTCTTAAAAATGCTGCTGTTGCTGCTGCTGCTTGTGATGATGGCGCTGACGCTGTATGTGTCCCCAGCAGCGCGCAGCAAATGAGAAGGGAGACACTGAATCCTCTGCAACAGCAGGCGTTGAGACTGCAGCAGCAGCAGCAGCAGCAGCAGCAGCAGCAGCAGGCTTCTGAGGAAGAGCGATTGAGTGTGGGGCCCCGCCGTCGTCTGCTGTATGATGGTGTTGAGCTCTGCAGCAATGGAGTTAGCTGTCTCCTTGCGTTTTCTTTCCCTTTGTCCTTCTCAGATTTTGCTGCTGTCACCAGTAGCAGTCCGGAGGGTTCTGCTGCTGCAGCAACAGCAGCAGCGGCAACAGCAGCAGCAACAGCGGGGGCAACAGGCAGAGGGTCTGAGGCGCAGAGCTGCGCGCTGCTGCTGCGCGCGCTGCTGGCGGCGGTGCAGCGTGCGTTTGCTGCAGCAGCAAACTGCGAAGCAGCGGAGTCTCCTGCTGCTGCTACAGCTGCTGCTTTGTGGGGTGTTGATGCAGGAGATCGGCGGCGCATGCATGCGCTGTCTCTTTGTCTCTCTCACCTTCACGATATATTAAGGGAGAAGCACACTGGGGTCTTGAGGGGTGTTAATAATTTTTTGTCTTCTTTTGTTGCTGTCTGCAGCAGCAGCTGCTGCCGTCAGCTGCAGCTCTTCCTACTGTCTCATTGCTGCTCTCATCTTTCTGCTGATGCTCATAGCTGCCTATACACCCCAAAGGGGCCCCTGCTGCATGCACCGACCCTCTGGGGGGCCCCCAGCCCATCAACAAAGGGACGACAACTTCTGGGGCCTTCCTTAGTTAAACACCTCGCACTGCCGCTGCTGCAAGCAGCCGGCAGAGCTGCAGCAGCAGCAGCAACAACAACAGCAGCAACAGCAGCAGGAGTACCAACAATAACACCAGCAACAACACCAACAGCAGAAGCAACACCACAAGCAACAACAATAGCACCAGCAGCAATAACAACAGCAGCAGCAGCAGCAACAGCAGCAACAGCAGCAACAGCAGCAACAGCAGCAGCAGCAGATGACGGTTCGGGTTTCTTTTGTGAGGTTTGGAGTCTCCTTTGGGGTCGATTGCTGCCCCTCATCTCCCCTCCTTGGCATTCCTACTTTATAGAGCGCAGTCAACAAGGTGTACGTACACCCCAAGGGGAAGAAGCTGTTGATGCTGCTGTTTGTTTGCTGCAACTCTTCGTCTCAGCCTGCAATATCCTTGAGGTTCTCTTCTTAGTGACGCCTCTGGCTATATTAAAAGACAAAGTTGCTCCTTTGCTGCAGCAGCAGCAGCAGCAGAGTAGTATCAGCAGCGGCTCTGTCGCAACAACAGCTCCACCGTTTGCTGTTGCTGCTGCTGCTGCTGCTGCTCGTCCTGGCGGGTTTAGCTTAACCCGTGAGGCCATCGGGGCTGTCTCCTCTTCTTTCCGCTTCCTGTTGAATATTTTTGATTCTCGTAGACAGGCAGTAGCAGCAGCAGCAACAACAGCAACAGCAACAGCAGCAGCAGGAGCGGGAGCTGCTGCTGATGCTTCTGCTGCTTGTTTAGAAGAAGCATTGATCAAGTGGATACAGAGGGGATTGCTTGGGGCCTACAGCTGTTTGTGTGCTGCCTGCTGCAGCACACAGACAAACGCTAATGTTTATATCTCTTTATTAGCAGCTGAGGAGTCGGGGCTGCATGCGCTTCTCGATAAGAACCTCCTGGTGTACGTGCAGCAGATGCAGCAGCAGGCCGACGCTGCGTTGCCCTTGTGGGGCCCTAAGCGTGGGCCCCCACCCCACAACTCGCTCCCAAGGGATCGGGGATCGCCACCCCACACCGTTTCCCCGCTGGGGATCGAGTGGGATCGAATGGGGAGACAGGCGGAGGCGGGCTTTGTGGGGTCGATTGGGGAGACAGGAACCGTCTCCGAATCCCTTGTCTCCTCTCTTGGTGCTGCAGAGGCTTTCTCTGCAACCAGGAAGCCGAAAGCAGCAAGCACCACAGGGCTGCTGCTGCAGCAGCTGCAGCAGCTGCAGTCTCTAGGGCCAGCAATGAGGCAGCTGGTGCATGCAGCAACCCAAACACTGCACAGCAGCAGCCTTGGGGCTACCCATTGGCTGCGCAGCCTCTCGCAGGCCCCCGCTCTCTCCCCCGCCTTTGCTGCAGCAGAGAAGGGGCGGATCGACGCTGCTGCTGCAGCAGCAACGGCAGCAGCAGACACCAGCAGACAGCAGCGTGAGGGCAGCACTCCGCAGCAGCAAGTGGAGATCATTCTTTCGGGCCGGGCGACTTTGGCGCCCCTAGAAGAAAAAACAAACAATGTAAGGAAGCAACAGCAGCAGCAGCAGCAGCAGCAGCAGGTGCTGTTGCTGCTGTGGCTGTTGGTTGCGTCCGAACAGTTCTCTGCGACTTTGCTTCATCAAGAGGTGTTGCTGCAGCTGCTGTTGTTGTTGCTGCTGTCGCTGCTTTCTTAGCTGTTGCTGGCAGCAGCGCCAAGGGCCGTCTGTATCTGAGGATCGGGGGATAGGGAAGGAGAGAGCAACAGCAGCAGCAGCAGCAGTAGAAGCAGCAGAAGCAAGAAACAGAGACCAGCCTGCAGCTTCTTGCTGCAGCTGTCTCCTCGTTGCTGCGTTGCGGTGTCTTTGCAGGGGCCCCCTTACGATGATGCGGTGGGCCGGGCCCCCTTGCTGCAGCAGCTGCTGCGGCTGATCGACTGCTGCTGCATTCGTTTCAGTCAAGAGTGGGGCACTGCTGCGGCTGCTGCTGCTGCTGCTCCTGGTGCTGCTGCTGCTGCAGAGAAGCCTTTGGGGCTGCCCCCGGTGATGGAGGCTCTTGTGCGCTGCTGCAGGGCGAGACCAGCAGCAGCAGCAGCAGCAGGAACAGCAGCAGCAGCAGCGGGAGATAGAGAAGGAGACCGAGTGTGGGCCTTTCGGCTGTTGCTGCTGCGCGTCCTGCTGCAGCGAGCGCAGCAGCTGAAGCCACTAGCTGAGAGGGGCTTAATTGATTTTGTAGCGGAGACAGTTGGAGACAGTAGAATGGCTGGAGCTAAGCGATTGCATTACTGGTTAAGGTGAGCATACACCCCAAAGGAGACCCCACAACCCTGGTGTATGTACTGTACACCCAAACCCACCAAGCAGCGGATCGTCTCCCCTGCAGCAGCAGCATGTTGCGTTGCTGCGGGCCTCCTACAGCAGCACTTAAGGAGGCTGCAAGCAGCAGTAGCAGCAGCAGCAGCAGGAGTAGCAGCACCAGCACACTCACCGGCAGCCACAACAGCAGCATCAACAGTAGCAGCAGCAGCAGCAGCAATAGCAGCAGCAATAGCAGCATAAGCAGCAGCAGTAGGTGCAGCTGGAGCTGCAGGAACTGCAGCAGCAGTTGCATCAGATGCAGCAGCAGCAGCAGGCGAATTCTTTGCGCACTTCCGTGCTGCTCATTGCTTCATGCAAGTGTGTCCTTTTGCTGTTTTGTCTCCTTGCGTTTACTTCTTGCTGCTGCAGAGACACAGCTCTGCTGCTGCTTCAGTGGCTGCAGCAGCCGGCGACCTCCGCTGTCTCCAAAGGACTTCTTGCTTCTTCTGAAGCAGACCCACAGCAGCAGCAGCAGCTGCAGCAGCAGCGGCTGCAGCCGCAAACAGCAGCAAGACTTGCTGCATTTGCAGAGACACTTGTCCGGCTGTCTACGAGTGCAGATGCACATACACACAAGTGAGCTCTTCTATACCTTTCCCCCTCTATATAAACATATATATATATATTTATAATCTTATATTATATCTGTTATATATATGTATATTATATTATATTATATATTTTCTATACCTTGTATATATTATATATATTATGTATTCTATGGATATTGGATATGTATATACATTATATGTGTATTATGTATGTATTGAATATATTATATATATTATATATATTTTATTTTTATTGCATATATTATATATATTATATATATCTATGCATATGCGTATATATCTGTATTACTTTTCAGTCTATGAGGTGTGTAAGCGGCACAGCGGCAGTCCCCTTTGGGGTGTACTGTTGTCTCTTTCGAGCGAGGCTCCTGCCTCTGCTGCTGATGCTGCTGGTGCTGCTGATGCTGCTGCTGCTGCTGCTGCTGCTGCAGCTCCTGCTGCTAATACGCGCTGGGAGGATGCCTGAGGCCTTTTTGTGCCCATGTTCAGACTCCGTCTGCTTTCAATTATTGTCTTTGCTGCTGTTGTTGCTGCTGCTGCTGCTGCTGTCTCTGCAGGCTGAATCTGATGCTCGTTGGGGCCTTACTTGAACGGCTGCACATGCGGCTGGAGGGAGACACTTTCTCTTCTGTTTCTGTCGTCTCATCTGGGGGGTCTCTTGGTGGTCGTGGTGCTACTTTGCTGCAGCAGCAGCAACAGCAGCAGCAGCGGCTGCTGCAGCTGCCTCTGCTTCCCTTCTTCACCTATGAAGGCTTACGCAGCGTAGAGGAGACAGCTCGCTTTCGTATTGGGGGCCTCGCCCTCCTCGAGTGTCTCTGTCTCCTTGAAAGGAGACACTTCGCAGCACTGCAACTTAAAGGAGGCCCCTACACCCGCATACTCTGGTACGCTGTCTTACCCCTTACCCTTCTATTAGGGCCCCTTTTGGGGGCCCTTTAGGGACCCTTTATCCTTCTATTAGGTGCCCTTTAGGGGCCCACTTGGGGCCCCTTTAGGGCCCCTTTAGGGGCCCTTTAGGGGCCCACTTGAGGCCCCTTTAGGGGCCCTTTAGGGGCCCTTTTAGAGGCCTTTGAGGGGCCCATTTGGGGCCCCTTAATGGGCCCTTTAGGGGTTCATAAGGGGCCCCTTTAGAGGCCCTTTAGGGGTCCATTTGGGGCCCCTTTAGGGTCCCCTTTAGAGGCCTTTGAGGGGCTCTTAGAGGGCCTTAAAGGACCCTTAGGTGCCCTTAATGGGCCCTTAGGGGGTTCAAGGGGGGCCCCCGGGGGAACCCCCTCGAGTATCCCGTGATTGTGTCTCTGATTTGGGTTGATGCTGCGTCTGCTTTTGCTGTCTGCTGCTGCTACGTGTGCTGCAGCAACAAGAACTTGCTGCTAGCTGTCTCCAGGGCCCTCTTCTTTCCTGTCTCTGCGGTGGCTGTACAGTCGGCGACTGTCTGCTGCAGCCTTTTGGGTGTATTCCCTCTTCAGCTTGCAGAGGAGGAGACAGGAGACGGTAGAGAAGGAGACAGCAGAGTGATTGGGGCTGCTGCATCACCTAGAGACCCTCAAACCTCCCCAGCCGGGCGCCAGCAGCAGCAGCAACAACAACAAGAGACAGCGGGACTCGCCTTTCTTAGGTCTTGCCACCGCCGCCTGCTGCAGCTGCATGCAGCAGAAGAAGCTACAGCAACTAAAGGGAGGCCCCCAGCTATCTGCGGCTGCGTCTCTGTGAGGCCCCCCTCACGTGCTTCTGCTGCTGCTGCTGCTGCTGCAGCTGCAGGCGCAGGCACTGCTGGAGGTGCTGCTGCAAGGGATTCCGCAGGAGACAGCGAGGCCCGTTCCCCCCTTGGAGTATCTTCTAAGGAGACAGTTGCTCTGGAGAAGCAAAGAAGAGACAAACAGAAGCTGCTGATGTACTCGTTTAATTATGATGAGCGCTTTGCTGCATGTGCTGCTGCTCTAGCAAGAGGACAGCCCCTCTTCTTCTTGGGGAGTGTTGATTCCTTGCCTCGCCGCGCCTTCTCCTGTCTCCTTTCTTCACTGCAGCAGCTGCTGGGAAGCACTGCAGCAGCAGCAGCAGCAGCTGCTGCTGCTGCTGTTGTTGCTGCTTCAGAGAGCAGCAGCAGCAGCAGCGGTAGCAGCAGCAGCAGCAGTATCGGCAGCAGCAGCGGCGCCAAGCAGCAAAGGCGAGAGGCACGAAGAGCAGCAAACCTCCTTGCAGCAGCTAAAGCAGTTTGCTGCTGCAACGTAGCAGCAGAGACAGCAAATGCCCCTGGCGCTGCAGTCCTTATGGCTGCCTTCGGTGATGAGCAATCCCCTGTCTTAGGGGCCACTGCAGCAGCAGCAGCAGCAGCAGCAGGGACAGCAGCAGCAGCTGCGGTTGCTGCGCATGCAAAGACAGCTGAGGAGAAGCTGCAGCAGTGGCAGGAAGAATCTGTTGATTTGCTGCTGCATGCACTTGAGGGACTGTGGGGCTGTCTTCTTAGCCCCGAGGGGTGAGCTGAGTCTCCTGCTGCTGCAGTCTCTGCTGCTGTTTTGCTGCTGTCTCCTTTTAAGGAGACGGACGCAGCACGAAGCTTGCTGTCTCCTTGCTGCAACAGAAAGCAGCAGCATGCAGCAGCAAGAATCAGCAATTATCAGCATGCAGCAACGAGCTGGAGCAGGCAGCAACACACAGCGGCAAGGATGCAGCAGCCAGCAGCAGCAAGTTCAGCAGCACGCAGCAGCAGACAGCAGCAAGTGCATGTTGCATGTGGGGTTGTTTTGTGTTGTGCTGCGGTACAGAGACAGAGACAGCTGGATATTGCGGGTGTCTCTTGAGTTGCTGCTGGGGCTCTTAAATAAGAGGGGCCCCTCTGATACTCTGCTGGGGGCCCTCGAAGGGTTATCTTGTCTCCTTAGGGGGCCCCCTAAAGACGGAGAGATAAGGAGACAGTTGTTTGATCTCTGTGTCTGTCTTCGTTCTCAGTCACTGGTGAGCGCCTCCTTTATACATTCTGTCTCCTTTTTATTTTATCATCTGCTGCTTATTTGCTCTACTCAGCAGTAGCTGTCTCCTTCTTAAGCAGGCACTTGCAGCACCACAAAACAGAGAAAGAAAAAGAATATAATATTGCAGAACAAAGCCCACCTGCGCAGACACCCCAAAGGAGACACCTCAATGCATGCATGCACACGCATATAGCTGCTCCCTTGCTGTTGTCTGCTGCTGCTGTTGCTGCTGCTACGTTTGCTGCTACGTTTGCTGCTACATTGCTGCTACGTTTGCTGCTGTTGCTGCTACGTTTCCCGCTACGTTTGCTGCTACGTTTGTTGTTGCTGCTGCTGCTGACAGGCATATGCTGAGAGCCCGACGCTGTTATCATTTATGCTGGGGACGCTGGGAGGAGACTCTGCGCTGCAGAGGAGACAGCTGCTGTGGTGTATAAGGGAAGGGGGGCTGCCGGAGGGGCCCCGAGAGCGTATAAGCTTTTTGCTGTCTGGGGGCCTCGTTGGAGACGCAGCAGCAGCACCCCACATGCTGCGTCTCCTTGCTGCTGCTGTATTATACCCTCATCAGCCCCAGCAGCGCCCTTCAGGGACCCGTGGGATCGGGATCGGGATCGGGAGCGGGAGCGGGATTGTGGGGATCGAAGGGCAGAACAGTAACACCCCACAATTTGTCTCCTTCGCCTCTCTTGCTGCCTGTTTATTTTCTGGTGGGGTCTCCTCTCGTCTCTCCAGCAGCATAGAGGGGGCCCCTCCTTCCTGTCTCTTAGGAGATGTTGCTGCTGCAGAGCAGCAGCAAACCAACAGGGAGTGTGGGGTGTTAAAGGGAGAGGAGACTGTCTCCTTTTCTTTGTTATCTCTAAAAGCTGCTGAGGTGGCTTCGCTCGCAGGGAGACAGCCCTTTACTTTAGGGAGGGGGGCCCCCTACCTCGGATCTGCTGCATATACTCTGAGTTTAAGCGAAGGAGACAGGGCGCCTGAAGTGTCTCCTCAACTTTATCTAGCAGCAATGCACGTGGGGCCCCACATCTTGAAACAAGCGAGGGGACACATAAGTGGCGCTGCAGCAGCTGCTGCGCTGCAACAGAGGAGCAGCAAACGGGGCAGTCGTTTGCTGCAGAGACACCTGAATCTTTTTCCTGCCTCCGAGGAGACAGCTATGATGCAGAGGGGGCCCCCAGGGGGCCCCGAAGGAGACACTTTCGAAGGAGAAGGGGGCCCTGAGTTGCTGCTGCTGCTGCTTCACAAGGCTTGCCAGCTGAGCCCAACGTTCACTCAGGAGTTTCTGCTGCTGCTGCTGCATGCACATCAAGCCCCAGGCGACAAAGAAGGGGTCCCCCTGCTTTCTTCTGGAGCAGCAGCAGCAACAGCAGCAACAGCAGCAGCACCAGTAGACGTGCTGGGGCTGGGTGCAGCAGCAAGACAAGCTCTAGAACGATGCGTGAGGGACCGCAGCGGAGACAGTCTCTTCCTGACCTTTTTGATGCGGCTTACCCACGAGGCGCTGCTGCTCAGCCCCCCAGCAGCAGCAGGAGCAGGAGCAGCAGCAGCAGCAGCAGATTGGAGCCGTATCTCCCCAACAGAGTTGGTGGCTTGGGCTCAGGAAAAGGAGACACTCGGAGCTGCTCTGCCGCTGCTAGAAGAGTTGACGTGCATGCAGCAGCGCGGGCTGCTGGCGGGCTTCCAGCAGCAGCAGCAGCAGCAGCAGCAACAGCAGCAGGAGCAAGCTGTGAGCAGGAAGCTGCGTCCTTATTTTATTTCCTTATATCGGGTGTACAGGGACCTCGGAGAGTTTGAATGGCAGCGCAGCACCATACAACTCCTCTCCCTCTGTCGCTGCGTCAGCGAAGAGACAGCAGCAAGTTTGCTGCTGCAGCAAGCAGGGGGAAGCAGCAGCAGCAAGTTGGCTATCATGAGGAGACGAAGCGGAGACAGCATTAGCAGCAGCAGCAGCAGCAGCTTAATGGGGACCCCTGAGCTGCAGAGACAGACGCAGAAGGAAGAGGAGACTGAAAAGGAGACAGACACAGAGACAGAGACAGAGTTGAAGCCCCTGCTGCGAGAGGCGGAGCTGCAGGCGCTGCAGCGGATGATGCAGTAGGCCTTATACTTCTTTGCTGCTGTTGTTTGCTGCAATTGGTTGTCTCCTTCTCTGCTTGGTTAGAGCGAAGAGGGAGGCAATCCTTCTTTCAGGTGTCTCTTCGCGTCCCAGTAGTGCCTTGGGGTCTGCTGCTGCTGCTGCTGCTGCTGCTTTTGCTGCTGTTGCTGCTGCTGCTGCTGTTGCTGTTGCTGTTGCTGCTGCTGCATGAGGGGGGAGTTGGCTCGAGTGTCTCCTTGCGAGCAGGTGGGAGCCTTTGCTGCAGTTGGGGGCCCCTTTGCTGTGCTGCGGGCCTCCAGGCAGTAACACCAGCAGCAGCAGCAGCAGCAGCAGCAGCAGGAGTGAGGGAGGAGGAGACCCGAGGGCCCCCTACCCAGTGGAGACAGCCCGCGAGGAGACACTGCTGCAGCACAGCCTGCAAGGAGACAGCGGATGTGTTGTTCGCGCTGCTGTTGCTCTAGAGCTGCAGCAGCAACACCCATCTGCTGCTGCTGCTGCTGCAGCTGCTTCTTTCTTAGAGAGGATTACTCTGTTAGCCCTGACTGCAGCAGCAGCTATCTGCTGCAGCACCACTACACTAATCCTCTAGCCTCTGCTAAGCCCTAAAGCCGCCTAAACCCTAAACCCTAATCCTGCTGCAGCAGAGTAGACACAGATCAGACACAAGAGACAGATACCCTAACCCCAAATGACGGGGAGCTCGCCTTTAGGGTTTAGGGTTTAGGGTTTAGGGTTTAGGGCTTAGGGCTTAGGGCTTATATCCAGATTAGGGTTTCGAGTTTAAGGTTTAGGGTTTACGGTCTAGGTGTTTAGGGTTTAGGGTTTAGGGTTTAGGGTTTAGGGGTTTGTTGTTGTTTGCGTATTGCAGGCTTACAAGTCCGCTTAATGCAAAGAAATCTGTTTTCGTTGGTGTGGGGTTGGGTGGGGTTGTTGTACAGCAGCTGCTGTCTGTGCATGCAGCAGCACAAGGGCGACAGCTGGAGGCTTCTTTGCTGCTGCAGCAAGGGACAGCTGCTGCCTCACGTCTTGTTGCTGCTTGCTGCTGCTGCTCTTCTGCTGCTGCTTCTGCTGCGCTGCTAAGCTCTGCCATCTCTCGTTTGTCTCTGTCTCTCTTTTTGTCTCGCTGCCTTGAGGCAGCCACCGCAGCAAATCCAGAGCAGCAGCTGCATGCATTCTTGCTGCAGGAAGCAGCAGCAGCAGCAGCAGCAGCAAAAGCACCTGCTAGAGGCAGGGGGCCCCTCCTATCCCGTTCTCTTGTAGGGGCCCCCCTAGAGACCTGTCTAGACACCTTGCTCTCAGTGACAGCCTTTGCTGCAGCACAGCAGCAGCAGCAGCAGCAGCAGCAGCAGGGGGGTGACCCTTCACTTTGCTGCAGCGCTAAGGCGTCTCCTTCAGCGGCTGTGGAGAGAGCAGAAGAGCAGCAAAAGAAAGAGGAGACACTTTGCTTTATTTGCTGCTGCGCTGCAGCACACACGGCGCGACAACTCGCAAAACTCCCAGAAGGGCTGAGCACCGCCTCGCTGCTGTTGCAGCAGGTGCTGCAGCAACAGCAGCAGCAGCAGCAGCAAATGCTGTCTTTAAGAGACCTCCCTCTATTTCGCACCATCATTAAGCTGAAGCTTCGTGAGCTGCGTGTACACGCCGGGGGAGGCAGCAGCAACGCTACGGTGAAGGCGCAGCAGCTGCTGCGCCTTGTGCAGCAGCAACAGCAGCAACAGCAGCAGCAGCAGCAGCAGCAGCAGTACTGGCAGTCTCTTGCTTCAGGGGCTCCTGCAGCTTGTGAGGCTACCAGCGAAGAGACAGCCTGTCTCCTTTTTTGTCTCCAACTCTCTTGCCACAGTGCCTTACTCCGCGAGCTGCAGCGCAGCATATCCTCACCTAGCAGCAGCAGCAGCAGCAGCAGCGGGGGCCTCCTGAGAGGGGCTGAGGAGGCTCTGAGGTGTATAGACAGCGCCTACACCCATATCGCCAAAGGAGACACTAGGCCTGCAATTCAACAGCAGCTCTACGAGCCACCCTCAGCAGCAGCAGCAGCAACAGCAGCAACAGGAGCAGCAGCAGCAGCAGCAGCAGATGGAGGAGCTGCTGCTTTCCTTATCAGTGTGCATAATCGATCAAAGTGTCTCTGGCGATGCGCTGTCCTCGCAAAAAAAATACTTCAGTTGCTGCATGCAGAAGAAGAGACAGCAGCAAACACCAGAGACACAGCGCTGCCAGTAGCAGCAACAACAGCAACAGCAGCAAGAGCAACAGCAGCAGCGGCAGCATCAGCAAGAGCAGCAATTCCTGCAGTGGCTTGGCTGTACTGCTGCCTGGTGGCGGAGTTGGCAGCAGCAGAAGGCAGCAGCAGCAGCAGCAGCAGCAAATACAGCAAAAGGAGCTTGGCTTTGATTCCTGATTTGCTGCTGCTCTGTGCTGAGGCTTCAGGCGCATGCAAAAAGAAGCAGCGCCTTGTCTTTAGTGGGCCCGTTACTTCAACTGCAGCAGCAGCAGCAGCAGCAGCATCAACAGCAGCATCAGCATCAGCATCAGCATCAGCATCAGCATCAGCATCAGCAGCAGCAGCATCAACATCAGCAGCAGCAGCATTAGAAAGTAGACTGCAGAGACTGATTAATATAATACCCTTCCCTCTACTTCGGGTGTATATACATCAACTCTTATCTTTCATCTCCACAGACACCTCAGGCTGTATCACCAGCGCACTTCTCCCGCTGCTGCAGCAGTTTGTTGCAGCAAACCCGCATGATGCTGTTCATGCATTTGAAGTAAGGAGACAGCAAACCCCGACATTAAACTCAGAGGCCGTCAACTGCTGCCGCTGCTGCTACTGCTGCTGCTGTTTCTGTTGCTGCTGATGCTGCGGCTATTGCTGCTGCTGCTCCTGCTCCTATTGCTGCTGCTCCTGCTCCTGTTGCGGTTGCTTCTGCTACTCCTGCTGCGGCTGCTGTCTTAAGATAATTGCAGGCAAATGCTGCTCCTGCTGCTGCGTTAAGGTGCATGCAGAAAAATGCAACTGTGGCTGCTGCTGCTGCTGCTGCTGTCTTTGTTTGTCTCCTACAGACAGCCATCTCCACTACCCTCAGGAAGGCCTCAGCAGGCAGCAAGGGGCTTCTGACAGCTCACGGAGATCAGGCTGCTGCTGCTGCTGCTGCAGCAGGTGCTGCTGATGCTGCTGCTGCTGCACGTGCTGTAGAGTTGTTTAAGTTGCTGCGTGCGCAAGCGCTGCGCTTAGCTCCCTTAGCAGCTCCGTTTGCTGCAGCGTGTCGCCTGTTGCAGCAGCCGGAGCAGCAGCTGCAGCAGTTGCTGCTGCAGCCGCTGCTTGAGCTGCTGGAGGAGACAGTAGGAGACAGCAAACTGAGAGAGGAGAGCTCGGTGCCTCTGGTGAGAAAGGAGACAATTGCTGCTGCTTGCCTGAGGGCGATATATGCGAGCTGCTCACCTGCTGCTGCTGCTGTTGCTGCTGCTGCTGCTGCTGCAGGGACAGCTTCTGCCTCCTTTTGCTGCAGCAAAGTGGCTGTCTCTATGGAGCGCTGCTGCTAATGCTGCTGTTCTGCTGGGGAGAGATGAAGTGCTAGGAGACAAAATTAATATACAGCTGCGGCGATTTGCTGCACATATGAAGACAGTGAGACACAGCTGAGGTGTCTCCTGTCTCCTTTTGTCTTCTGTCTCCTTTATCTTCTGTCTCCTCGTGTCTTTTGTCTCCTCTCATCTCCTGTCTCCTTTATTTTCTGTCTCCTCTTGTCTTCTGTTTGTTTTCTCATGTCATCTGTCTCCTCTTGTCTTCTGTCTCCTTTTATCTTCTGTCTCCTCTTGTCTTCTGTTAGTTGTCTTTTATCTTCTGTCTCCTCTTGATTTCTGTCTCCTTTTGTCTTCTATCTCCTCTCTCCGCCTGTCTTCTGTCTCTTGTCTCCTATCTTTTGTCTCTTATCTTTTGTCTCCTTTTGTCTTCTGTCTCCATTTGTCTTCTGTCTCCTTTTGTCTTGTCTTCTGTCTCCTTTCACAAATTATTATTTTGTCTTTTATGTAGATGTACTTAATGTGGATAGAATTATATATATTTACACTTAGAGATAAAATTATATTTAAATATATTTATTTATTATAAACACAATAACTTATGTCTTTATTTCTGTCTCCTTTGGCCTCGCTTATTTATTTGTATATGCAAGGAGACACCTGTGCAGCAAAAGAGTGAAGGGGCACCATAGCTGCATTGTTTGCTGCTTTGCTGCTGCTGTGTTCTTGCTGCTGCTGCGTTGCTGCTGCTGCTTTGCTGCTGCTGCTTTGCTGCTGCTGCTTTGCTGCTGCTGCTTTGCTGCTGCTGCTTTGCTGCTGCTGCCTTCAGTTTATTTGCTGCAAAGTTAGGGGGTTAACTGAGGGGTCTCCTTCGCCTAGCAGCAACCTGACGATCGCAGCAGCAGCAGAGATGCTGCTGCTGCTACCAGTTAAGGAGGTGTTGCTGCTGTTAAGAGACATCGCAAGGGAAGCAGCGCAGCACTCCGCAGCAGAAGCAGCAACAGCAGCAGCAGCAGCAGGAGGCTGCAGGAGACACGGAAGCCTTCGCCTGTCTGAGGTGTCTCCATGGCTAGCAGAGTGAGAAAGGAGACACTTGAGATACCTGAGTTTCTCCTGCTGCTGCTGCAGCTGCTTCTGCTGCTGCTGCTGCTGCTGCTGTCAACTCGTTGCAGCTGGTGGTAGACGGCAGCAGCTGCAGGTCATGCACCTGCAACAGCAGCAGCAGCAGCAACAGCAACAGCAACAGCAGCAGCAGCAGCAGCAGCAGCAAGGAGCCCAGGTGTTTCTTTGCTGCTAGAGCAAGCCAGTGCGTGTGTCTTTGATTGCTGTCTCCTTTGCATGCGTATGCTGCATTTGCTGCTGCAGCTATTCGTGGCAGCCAAGTGTCTCCGTTTTGTCTCCTTATGGAGACAGCAGCAGCAGCACCTCTCCGCTGCTGCTGCTGCCTGTCCCCTTTCAGGAGACAAACTGCAACACAGCTGCAGCAGAGACAAAACAAATTGTCTCCTTCGCTGAACGCGTGAGACACTTTCATCATACGCACATTTATATTATTTTAATCTCTAAATATATATATAATATATATATATTATATATATAATATATATCTGTGTATATATGAGTATATAATATATATATATATATCTGTCTATATATGAGTATATAATATAATATATATATATATATATATCTGTCTATCTATCTGCATATATATACATATATATCTGTATATATATATATATGTTTATGTCTATATCTATGTTTGTTTATACTCATCTAGCTGTATGTATGTATCTACATATACGTATATATATATATATATATACATATACATATACATATTTATATATATATACACATACATACACATTTATTTATTTATTAATTTATTAATTAATTAATTAATTAATTAATTAATTAATTTATTTATTTATTTATTTATTTGCAGGCGGTGCGGGTGCCTTCTGCGGAAGGCGGTGTTTGTTTGTCTTTGTTTGAAAGCGACGGAGTAAAGAGATATATTTTAATTAAATATGCAGACAGACTGCAGCAAGAACATTTTATTCAAGCAATAAGAATGATACTCACGCAAATAGTGAGATACTATACGCCTCCTCCTGCTGCTGCTGCTGCTGCTAGTGTTGCTGCTGCTGCTAGTTTGTGCTGCTGCTGTTGCTGTTGCTCTTGTTGCTGCTAGGTCTGCTGCTAGTGCTGCTGCGGCGGTGCTGCTGCTGGTGAGAATGTGCTGCTGCTGTTGTTGCTGCTCTCTGCTGCTCTTGCTGCTGCTGGTGATTATCCTGCTGCTGGTGTTGCTGCTGCTGCTGTTGTTGTTGTTGCTGCTGCTGCTTCCAGGTTAATGGCTGCATGTGCATGCAACAGGCATATATGTAATATATATATATATATATATATATATATTATATATTATATGTGTATATACATAGAAGTACTGAAACGTATTGATAAATATAAATATAAATATAAATATAAATATATATATATGCAGATAAATAAATAAATAAATAAATAGTTAAACAAGATGTATATCAGCATAATAACATCATCATCAGCAGCAGTTGTCTCCGTTTGCTTGCGGATACAGGGGGGACTGCGAGGCGCCTCATCTGCTGCTGCATCTGCTGCTAGAGGTTTGTGTCTCCGTTCGTACGGGGTGCTGTCTCTTTCTGCTGCTCATGGTGTTATTGAGTGGGTTGAAGGCAGCTGTCCCCTTTTAGCAGCAAGTGAACTCTACTGCAGCAAACCGCTGGGGGCCTCTGCAGCATCTAAACGCTATGCTGCTTTTCTTAGAGACATGACTGCTGCTGCTGCTGCTGATGTTGCTGCTGCTGCTTCTCGTCCTTCTGCTGCTGCAAATCTTGCTGCTGCTGCGGATACCGCTGCTGGTGGTGCTGCTGAAACAACACCAGCACCAGCACCAGCAGCAGTATCAGCAGCAGCACCAGCAGCAGCACCAACAGCAGCATCAGCAGCAGCACCAGCAGCAGCAGCAGCAGCAGCAGCAGCAGCAGCAGCAGCAACTCGGCAGGTTCAAATAGCAGATGTGTGGGCAAAGATTTTTGAATTGCCCGCTGCTGCAGTAGAAGAAGTTTTTAGGGAGTGTGTACACTTAGCGGAGACCTGCACAGACACCTCAGCAGCAGCAGCAGCAGCAACAACAACAACAGCAGCAGCAGGACGAACAGACCTTCAACCGCCCTGCAGCAGCAGCAGCAGGAACTGGTGCTGCTGCGCGTGCGGCAGCAACAAGGGAGTGCCACGGGGGCCCCCTGCTGCTCCCGCAGATGCATTGCTGCGGTGTCTGGCTGCTGCTGCAGCAGACAGCAGCGAGCTGATGGAGATGCGGAGACACTTCACCGTCTCCTTAGCAGCAAATGCTGCTGTGGGGTATTGCTTGGGAGTCGGGGATCGTCACCTCAGCAACTGTCTCCTTATTGTACACACAGGAGAGGCAAGCAAACATAAAAGGAGACATCTGCAGCAAACAGCAGCAGCAACAAACCCTAAACCCTAAACCCTAAACCCTAAAGACGACGAGACACTCAAAGCAGAAAGAGACAAACAACAAGGAGACACCAATTAGCTGCAAGGGTTTAGCTTCTTTCTGACTTTTACAGGCTTCCGTACCTTCTTCTTCTGCTGCTGCTGCTGCTTCTTGTGCTGCTTTTGCTGCTGCTTCTGCTTCTGCTTCTACTGTTGCTTTTGCTGCTGCTCCTGGTGCTGCTCCTGCCTCTGCTGCTGCATTTGCTGCTGTTGCTTCTGATGTTGTCCCTGCTGCTTCTGCTCTTGCTCTTGCTGCTGCTTGTGCTGCTGCTGCTGCTGCTGCTGCTGCTGCTGTGTGCAGTGTCTAGACATTGACTTTGGGTATGCGTTCGACTTTGCGGTGTACGGACTGCCAGTGCCTGAGATAGCCCCCTTTAGATTATCTCCCTGTCTCCTCCGTGTTGTGGGGCCTCCTGGGGCGCGCTGCTACTCCCTGCTGCAGTCTGCTTTCTTCAACTCCTGCAGCAGCAGCAGCAGCAGCAACAGCAGCAGCAAAGGTAGCAGCAGCAGCCGCGGCAGTGGCAGTGAGAGCGGCAGCGGCCTGGTTTCCGCAGTAGCAGCAGATAAAACACCAGCAGCAGCACCACCAGCAGCACGAGCAGCAGCAGCAGCAGCAGCAGCACCAGCAGCAGCACCAGCAATGCATGCATGGGCTGCTGGCGGTTTGGGGCTGCTTCAATACCGCCTCGCGGAGGCGTTGGAGTGTCTGCGCTCTGAAGCAGAATTTCTGCATTCAGCAGTCGAGATGTTTATTACTACGAACCCCTCAGCTGTATACCCCACAGTAAGCTACACAGCAGCAGCAGCAGCAGCAGCAGCAACAGCAGCAACAGAAGCAGCAGCAGCAAGGCATCTCCACGCCTTCTCAACATATTTGCTGCCACAAAGAGCGTAGGGAGAGAAGATTGAGTTGGTAGAGAAGACAGCTGCTGCTGCAGTTGCTGCTGCTTTAGCAGCATCTACTGCAACAGTTGCTGCTGCAGAAACAGCTGCAGCAGCAGCTCGGAAAGCGTTTGCATGCGTATGCTTTTTCATGCTACAGTACTTTGCTGCTCTGTGTGGGGTGTGTACAGACTGCGAGGAGGAGAGCTGCAGCCTGGAGAGAGGGAGGCGAGGCAGCGCTGGGGATCGTCCCTGGGATCGTCCCTGGGATCGTCTCCGGGATCGCCTCCCCAGGTGTCTCCGCAACGTCGCTACAAATCTCCCTCTTAAGTGCAGCTGCAACGGTGCCGCTAGACAGATCTGAAGCGTCTCTGTGGGCCCCACACTCAAGAGAAGGAGGAGACAGCAGCAGCAGCAGCAGCAGCAGCAGCAGCAGCAGCAGCAGAGAGGGAGAGGCTGAGGCAGCTACGCATCTTGCTCTATCTACTCTCCGACGCAAACTCCAAGGGGAGCATCCTTCTCTTATAACTATTGACCTATTAAAAATGCATAAGGAGGTAAAACAAATAAACAAAAACAACAGCTATAAACTACTTACATCAGGGGCCCCCTATAACGCTTTTTAAAGCATTTTCTATGCAGCAGCAACTGGAAGATATGCTGTGTGCAACCTTGCTGCTGCTGCTGCTGCTGCTGCTGCTGCTGTTGCTGTTGTTGCTGCTGCTGTTGCTGCTGCTGTTGCTGTGGTGTCTCTGCTGCAGCCGTATGTCTCTGCTGCTGCTGAACGCCCAGCCTCAATTCTTCACTCCCTAGTGATAGGCAGCAACCCACCAAGGGCCCGATTCGCTCTGCTGCAGCAGCTGCAGCAGCAGCAGCAGCAGCAACAGCAGCAGCAGCAGCAGGGTTTGAAGGGGTGTTTAATAAATTGTGAAGAGCAAGCAAAGTGTCTCCTCGAAATTGCTTCAGACCCAAATGTGATAGGCAGAGCCTGGGCTGGCTTCACTCCTTTTATTTAAAACAAACTTAAATAAATATAAATATAAATATATAAATATAAATATAAATATATATAAATATATATAGATATAAATATAAATATAAATATAAATATAAATATAAATATAAACCGTAAATCTAAATATCAGTATCATTATATATATATATATATATATATAAAGATACTGATAGAGATAGAGATAAAGATAAAGTTAGAGATAAGGAAGAGGCAGAAGAAAAAGTAAAAGTAAAAGACAACAGCAAAGTAGAAAACAGACAAGCCAGCTAGCTAGCCAGCTAACTAATTAGGTAGGTAGGTAGGTAGGTAGCTAGCTAGCTAGCTAACTAGCTAACTAGTTAGGCAGGTAGGTAGGTAGCTAGCTAGCTAGCTTGTGGAAGGTAGCGTACAAGGCTGTGTATAGCTTGGCGCTTTGTCTACAGCTAGCTGTCTAAATAGCTAGCTAGCTAGGTAGCTAGGTTGCTAGCTAGCTAGCTGGCTAGCTAGGTAGGTAGGTAGCTAGCTAGGTGCGGCATGATGAGAGGCGAGGAGCCTCCCGCGAGGCAAAGGGAAGTAAAAGATTTGAAGCTGCAGATGTTTGCTGCTGCTGTTGCTGTCGCTCCAATAAGCTGCAGCAGCTGCAGCAAAGCCAACTCGTGCTGCAGCAGCTTCAGCTGCTGCTTCTGCTTCCATTGCTACATCTGCTGCAGCTGCTACTGCTGCTGCAGCTGCTACTGCTGCTGCAGCTGCTACTGCTGCTGCAGCTGCTACTGCTGTTGCTGCTGCTACTTTTGCTGCTGCTGCTACTTTTGCTGCAGCCGCGGCCGCTGCAGCTCCAACTGCTACTGCTGCTGCAACTGCAGCCGCAGCTGCTGCAGCTCCAGCTGCAGCTGCTACTGTTCCAACTGCTGCTTGTAGTGCACCAGCTCCTGCTTCTGCTGCTGCAGCCTCTGCGGCAGCAGCAGCAGCAGCTGCTGCTGCTGCTGCTTCTGCAGCATCTCCAGCTGCTATAATGACGCTTGGTCGCTCTAACATCGGGCTGCATGCTGTTGGATGTTATAATAAATAATAATAATAATAATAATATTATTATTATTATTATTATTATTACTATTATTATTATTATTATTACAATGCAACAAACAGTTTATACTTTTGTTTGTGTTAATTGCTTGTTTATTTGTTTTATTTATTTATTTATTTGTTTGTTTGTTTGTTTGTTTGTTTGTTTGTTTTAGTTTAGAGGGAGGGCTTCACTGGTTTGTCTCCTTTTGCTGCATTTGCTGCTGCACCAGCGCTGAAAGTCTTTGAAGTGGAGACAGACGAGTTGAATAAAAGAGTTAATAAGACAAGCAGCAGCAAGAACAAGCAGCAGCAGCGCAGCAAAACCAGAGCTCCATGTGTCTCCTTCTTCTTGACTCCAAGCGTGGCTGCTGTTTGCTGCTGTCTCCTTTATCTGCTTCGCCCCCTGCAGCAGCAGGTCTCGATTCGTTTGCTGCTGCTCTTCTGCTGCTGCAGCATAATCTGCTGCAACAGGGAAAATAGGAAATCGAGGTGTTCTTGTTGCTGCTGCTGGTGCTGCTGCTGCTGCTGCTGGTCCTGTAGCAGCAGCAGCAGCGTCGTAGAGGGTGCTTGCTGCTGAATCTGCTGCAATCAAATGCAGCAAAGGAGCAGCCTTGCTGCTCTTGAGGCTTTGTTCTGCTTCCGCTGTGCAGTTTACATTGAAGACACAAGAGAAGGGGTTGGGTGGCAGCAGCAAAATAATAATGAAGAAGAGCAGCAGCAGCAGCGACAAAGGAAGCAGCACAAAGTTTCTTATCCTCCCGCGCTTAAATATGTTGCCCCACTGATATAACATTGCTGCATGCACCATACAAACTCCTGTCCAAATAAAGACAAGACCTGCTTCGGCGTGTCCTTCTGTGCTGCAGACTGCTGTCTCCTTTCCTGCTGCTGCTGCTGCTGATAGTGCTGCTGCTGATCCTACTGCTGCTGTCTCTTGAGCGAAAGAAGGAGACATCCAGATGCTGTTGCTGCTTTTTAGAGACATATCCATTCCTTCTGCTGCTGCTGAAGGAGACAGTTGTCGTTTCTGTTCTGCTGCTTCGTACAGCAGCAAAGGATCTGAGTCAAGAAACAAATCCTCTTCTTCCTCTGCTGCTGCTGCTGCTGCTGCTGCTTCTGCTGGTGCTGCATGCTGCAGCAGCATCTCTTCTGTCTCCTTCGGAGTCATTCGGGAAGAGAGAGAGGCTTTAAGGAGACGCGCAGAAGGGAAGGAGGCGCCATGCTGCAGCAGCAGCAGAAGCTGCTGTTGCTGCTGCTGCTGCTGCTGCAGTCCGTTTCTGTCCCGCAGACGCTGCTGCAGCTGTTCTTCCTGTCTCTCCTTTGCTTCCATCTGCAACCCACTATACTGCTGAGCAGTTTGGATCTCTTCTTGCTGCTGCTGCAGCTGCTGCTGCTTCCCTTGCCTATATCGTTGTAGCGGTTGCTGCTGCTCTTGCTGTTGCTGTTGCTGCTGCAGCCGTTTGCGGTATCTCCGCTGCATGGTTTTTGCTGCTCTTCCTCTTCCCTGTGGCGCTCCCGCTGCTGCTGCAGCAGCAGCTGCTGCTGTTGCTGCTGTAGTGTCTCCGTTGCTGCTGTGGGCGTGCAGCCAGATACAAGGAGGCGGGAAGCGTGAATAAAAGATTAAGAAGAGAGTAACGAGAGCAGCAAAGTCTACTGAAGTAAGAAGAAGAACAGCAGATATTATACTTGGGGAGAAGGGACAGGAGAGAGGAGAGAAAGGAGACAGTTGCTTTGCAGCAGGAACAGAGAAGAGTAGAGCAGCAGATAAACCGAGGAGACAAACAAGATCTAAGAAGAGGCCAGCATAGACATTAACCCCACTATACTGCAGCATAACTAGCAGCAAACTAGCTATAGCCGCCAATACACCGTAAGATATATGCAATTTATATATTGTCATTGCTGTAATTAGGCTGCAGCGACCGACATTTATAATATCTACAAGACCCTTCAAGCATGCTGACGTCTCTAAGTCTATTGATTTCTCTCCTATTTCTATTTTGTCTCCTTTCTGTTGTTTTCCCGCTTCTAAATGTGTATGTGTCTCCGTTGAAGAACGCGGTAAGAAGCTGTCTCCTTCTGTGGGGTGTTGTCTCCTCCTGTCTCTTTTGCTGTCTCTTCTCAGCAGCAGCGGAGCTGACTGTGCAATAACAGCAAAAGGGATTGCTAAAGGATTATGCTGCTGCTGCAGCTGCCCCACACTAACTCCAACATCTGCTTGCTGCAACGCCAGAGCGTCGTTGCTGCTGTCTCCAGCCATTAATGTTATAAGGCCTTGCTGCTGATACTGCAGCAGCAGCAGCTTCTTTCCTATCGGAGACACACGAGAGAACAACGCAATACGGAGCAGCAAATAATCAAACAACGAAGAAAAAGATGAAAATGAAGAAGATGTAGATGCCTGAGAATGTTTTTCTTGCAAAAGAAGAGTCCTTTCGGGATCGGGATCGGGATCGGGATCGGGATCGAAGTGTGGGGTCTTCATGAGGACTTGTGCAGCAGCAAAAGTTACCGCCAAATGTTTAAATTCTTCCGATCTATACACCCGAAAGGGATCGATTATTTCGCCTGTCTCCATGTTGCTCCATTGAACAGAATGAAGATCAGCAGCAGCAAGCAGCAAGCCATCCGCTTCTCTACCTTCTCCCTCAGATGTAAGGCTCCCCAGCAGCACCGGTGCTGCTGCTGCTGCTGCTGCTGCTGCTGTTGCTGCTGCTGCTGTTGCTGCAGTTCCCCGCGGCGTCGTTCTTTCTGCTTCGGTGTCTGTCTCTTCACCCTCATCTTCCATGTGTCCCTGTGGGGATCGGGATCGGGATCGGGATCGAAAAAGCCCTGCTTGTCTCCCCACAGCCACTGCAGTGTACGGACTGTCTCCAGTTATCATAACACAGCGAATGCCTCCCTCTGTTAATGCTGCTACTGTCTCTGCAGCATCGCACCGAACTTCATTATTAAACAGCAGCAACCCGAGACAGCACATATTTTGCTCCACTTGGGAGCGAGGGAGACGACCGATCCCACCGATCCCACCGATCCCACCGACCCCACCGATCCCATCGGTCCCACTTATCAATGAGAGCTCCTCTTGGGTTAATTCTCTATATGCGATCCCAATAACATAAAGGCCTTGTCTTGCATGCGTTTCAGCTGTCTTTAAATAAACATTTGGTGTTGTCTCCTTTCTTGATATTTTCATCACGTCTTCATACTTCCCTCTAGAAAAAACAAATCCTTTATTAGGCCCCCGAGTCCCTCTTCCGGTGTCTGTACACTCCACCGCAACCACACTCATTATCCCGCCGTCTTGCTTTAAGCTATATGACCCCACAATCTCTAACATACTAGCAGCAGCTGCTGCACCATCCCCCTTCTGCTCCTGCTGCTGCTGCTGCATCACTTGCTGCTGCATCTCTTTTGTGGGGACTAGGAATTGTCTCGTCTTGCGTTGCTGCTGCTGTTGGGCAGCCCAAGTGGTTGATGCTCTAAGAAGCTGCTGCTGCTGCTGCTGCTGCTTGTCTTCTCGTTCAGAAAGAACAGCAGCAGGGACTTCAACTAGTTGATAACCGCTGCAGTAAAGAGACTCTCTGTCGATGCATGCGCCTTTAATATCTGCTGCAGTATAAGACGGCCCTGCTGCTGCTGCTGCTGCTCCTCCTGCTGCTGCTGCTGCCTGTGATATTGCCAGCAGCTCCTCGCCTGTATAAACCCCTTCACCTACTTGCTGCTGCTGCTGCTGCTGCTGCTGCTGTCTCACCCACTCAGCAACGCCATGGGCTGTATAATGCAGCGAACTGCAGCACGCAAGGCACTGCCGCAGCACTAAGCTCATCGATCCCGATCCCGATCCCGATCCCGTTGTTGTGGGGTTTGTTTCTGTGTCTGCATGAACGGGTATAGCAGCGGAAGTGCTGCTTCTGATGTCTCCTTCGTTGTCTCGTCTTTGTCTATCGTTTGCTTCTTCTTCTTTTCTTCTGTTGTTGCTAATTAAATCTACAAATGAAGAATTTATCACCGGATGTACACCAAACAAAGACATCTCGCTGCTAGTTAATGTGCCTGTCTTATCAAGACATGCAACGTGTACTTTTGCTGCTAGAGGCAGCAAACCGGGGATCACTGCAGCAGCACGATACGCCCCCTTATCCCCTACCCTCCTCCCGCTGCTGCTGCTGCTGCTGCTGCTGCTGCTGCTGCTGCTGGGGAGACGGCGGGCGTTGAGGCTGCAGCAGAGACCCCACAGAGCTGGGAGATACAGCGGAAGCATACGCAGCAGCTTCTCTACACCAAACCGAAAAGCATCAGCAGCAGATCGTGTAAACGGTGTTTGAATTACGATTAAAATAAGAGCAAAGACAGTCACTAGCAGCAGCACAAAAGGAAAATGAATATCATATTTAAAACGAAGCAAAGGCTCCTGCTGCAGCTGCTGCAGCAGCTGAGATCGATGTGTCTCCTCTCCTCTTCTAACCACAAGGCCCCAGCAGCAACCCTGCTGCAGCAGCAGCTCTGTAGGCTGCTCTACCTCCTTCGATGTCAGCAGCTGCACCCCCTGCTGCTGCTGCTGCTGCTGCTGCAAAGAACTGTCTTCTCCCTCTACCAACATCTCTGCTTCTATGCTGCTGCTGTTGCTGCAGTAGAGAATTCGAGAGTCGCTGTATATACACCTCAAATATTCATCTGAAAGAGACAGAGCATCAACAGTCGGCTTTGCTTCTTGCTGCAAGTCTCTGCTGCTCCCCTCCCATTTTGCTGCTGCTGCTGCTGCTGCTGCTGCGGGTGCTTCTGCTGCTCCTCGTGCTGCTGCTGCTGCTGCTGCTGCTGCTGCTGCTGAGACCTTGAGGACAGGTTGTGTCTCTCCTGTTAGCTGAGCCTCATCGACAGAGACAGCCCCGTGCAGCAGCAGCAAATCAGCAGCAACGGTGTCTCCTTCCTGCAGCAGCAGCAAATCCCCAGGCACAAGATCATGTGCAGGTATTCGCTGCAGCACGAAGGAAGGTTCTTCATCTTCTTCTGCTGCTGCTGCTCCATCTGCTGCTGCTGCTGCTGCTGCTGCTGCTGCTGCTGGAGATAGTTTGCTTCGACGGAGACAGAGGGTTTGTCTATGATTGCGTATAAAACTGTCTCTGTTTACTGCTGCTGCTATTTGCTGCTCTCCATGCGAGAGCATATAGACACCGTAGATGAGTTCTGAAAGGGGCAGCAGCAGCAGCAGCAGCAGCTGCAGGTAGTTAGCAGCAAATGATGTATACCACAAGGCAAGCAGCAGCAGCAAATAGAATTCGTCTTGAAAGAGAGACATTGAAAATAATGAAGAGACGCCTCGCAGCACCCACGAACCTTCATTTCCGAGTTGCAGCTGCTGTCTCCTTTTTACTTCTTTTGGAGACAATAGAAGCCTTTGCAAGACAGCTAAGAGGCTGCTGTCTCCTGCTGCTGCTGCTGCTGCTGCTGCTGCTGCTGTTTGTTGTTCTTCTCTCCTAGTAGTATTTGCTGCTGCTGCAGGGGCCCCACGTGTCTCCGTTCTTCCGCCTGTCTCTTGCTGCAGCAGCGAAGTAGCTGCTGCTGCTGCAGCAGAGGCTAGAGTCTTTGCTGCTGCTGCTGCTTGCTTCTCGTAGACAGCAGCAAAAGATATAAAATATCCCTGCGTTATATCGTAGATTAAACAGACACCATTTATGTTTACAGTTCTATCTGTTTCTACTTTCTTAACTTTATAAATATTTTTGTTTATTATTACTTCTGTCTCTTCATCTATTTGCTTGTCTCCTGAAGGAGACACAACAAACGAATCCAATGCACCATCATCCTTCCCCTTGCTGCTGCTGCTGCTGCTGCTGATGCTGCTGCTGCTGCTGCTGTGTATGAGGAGGTGAGAGCAGCGTAGAAAGCAAGAAGGAGAGTAAAGAAGCCTATAAAGTTTATCTCTAAATAAATGAACAACAATCATAAAAGATAAACACCAGATAAAACAAACACTAAAAATATATATACGAAGTTTTACACACTCGGGGCTTGCTGCTACTGCTGCTGCTGCTGCTGTTGCTGCTGCTGATGCTGCAGCATCTGCAGATGGAGATGCAGCAGCAGCAGCAAAGCCAGGAACACCTTGATAAGCAGAAGCAGGAAAGAAAGACAAGATAGACACATTAGGAGACAGACTGCTAGCAGCAAATCCAGCAGCAAAAGGCAGCAGCACAGATAAAAGTATTGCTGCAGCAAGACATGCATACACTAAACAACCTATGATAGAAAGAGAGACAGCAAATTGCTGCAGACACACTCCCCTGCTCATTATTATAGGGCTCATGCATATAGCTTCCTTCTCTTTTGTTGTTTTTGTTGCTGCTGCTGCAGGTTTTGCTGCTGTTTCTGTCTCTGCTTCTGTTGTTGTTGCTGCTGCTCCTGCTGCTGCTTCAGACTGCTGCAGCAGCTGGTTTGAGCCTGGGCTTCTGTTGCTGCTGATGCTTCGATTAGAGACAATTCGTTTCTGTCTCCTAATTCTATATCTCCACAGCAAAGCCCTATACAGCAGCCAGCTAGCAATAAGTATAATAACAAATGAGTAAAAAATGAATGCATAACAAAGCAGACGCAGAGAGACAGGTGTTGTTGAAGGAGAAGACGGGCAGCTGCGAGCATCGCCTTGTAAAACAGAAGAAAATGCAGACTCCATACTTACAAAACTGCTGCTGCTGCTGCTGCTGTTGCTGCTGCTGATGCTGCTGTTGCTGGGGATGCTGGGAATGCTGCTGTTGCTGCTGTTGAGGCTGCTGCTGCTGCTGTTGTTGCTTGGAGTGCTCATGATGCTTCTGAAGCCCACAGGAACTGTGTCTTCAGCAGCAGCAGCAGCAGCAGCAAAAGCAGCAGCAGCGGGAGACAGCTGCAGCAGCAAACAACTCGAAATTATTAGCAGCAGACAAGGACGGAGGAAGCAGCAGAACGACCGCCCCTTCAAGTGCCTGCTGCATGGCCATTCTGCTGCTTGAGGGCTCCCTAGTCTATGTGCTGCTGTTGTTGTTGTTGTTGCTGCTGCTGCTGCTGCTGCTGCTGGTGTGTGTGTGCGGAGGGTGCTGCCCCCAGCAGATGCAGCAAATGCTGTGGGAGCTGCAGCAGGAGTCTCCATCTTGTTGCAGAATTCAAGGAGAATATTGTTGCTGTTGCTGCTAGTGCAGCAGCAGCAGCAACAGCAGCAAGAGCAGCTGCTGCTGCAGCACCACTTGCTGCAGCTGGATCTGAAGTTACGGCAGCTGTCTCTTTAGTTGAGAGTTTCGCTGCAGACAACTTTTGCTGCTTCTGCCTTCTTTTAAATGCAGATGTTGTTTAGCTGCGCATACACCTGAATATTGTTGAGGTGTATGTGCAGCTCGAGTGCTGTGCTGCTGCTCTCGCTAGCTTACCATTGGTCTGTGTAGCATGTAACGGTAAGGAAACGGAGATGAAAATGTTTAAAACAATGAATTAATTGTTTTAAATATCCTTTTAATATTAAATAAAAAGAAAAAAACAGAAAAATTCATATATATAAACATCTAATTAATACTATACCTGCCTATACACCGCAATGCACAGCCAGTGGTCTCACAGCATTTACGCCTTTCTTCTCTCTTTTATTTTCATCTTTAAATATTTGTTTTATTTTTATTTTTATATTATTAAATAATAATTTTATCTTTATTTACTCTTTTCTTTTACTAGTTACCGCATTCATGCTCTGCTTCTCTTAGTCTTACATCGGGCCTTACATACACCCGGCGATGCGCACCAAAAACTTTTTTTTGTTTGTTCAAATCTTAATAATACTAATGAATAAATTAATTAATTAAATAAATAATTATATATATAAATGTGTAGTGTTATTAGCTCCTTAATACCACTAAATGTGTAAATATACAAGTTAAAGCCTTGTTGTATGCATCAATAAAAATATTTGTAGATAAAAAGATAAATAAAAGGATAAATAAAAAGATAATAAATAAATTAAAAGATGTACAAAACAAAAGGTAAAGACAGATAAAAGGATATATACATAAAGGACACGATATGCATATGCATAAAACTATATATATATATATATATATATTCCTAGAAATATATATAATTAGATATTCACGCAAAACAGACAAAAGAGAAACCCTCATCGCATCCAGTGCTGCATTCGAGCCTTAAGCGGCTTCTTCTTGACTATATGGTTTAGGGTTTAGGGTTTAGGGTTTACTGTTTTAGGGTTTGGGGTTTCAGGTTTAGGGTTTTAGGGTTTAGGGTTTTAGCGTTTAGGGTTTAGGCGCTTAGGGTTAAAGGTTTAGGGTTTAGGGCTTAGAAGTTTAGGGCTTTGGGTTCAGAGTCTAGCGATTAGGGTTTAGGGTTTAGGGTTTAGGGTTTTAGGTTCTGCCTTGGAGTGCCGATCCCTAAACCCTAAACGCTAAACTCTAAACCCTAAACCCTAAACCCTTAACCGTAGATGCGCAGGGCAGCTCAATTAGGTTTGTTTTATCTCAGTGTGTAGGGTTTAGGGTTTAGGGTTTAGGGTTTAGGGTTTAGGGTTTAGGGCTTAGGCTTTAGGGTTTAGGGTTTAGGTCTGCATTTTATTTGTCTTTTTAATTGTTCTCTACTTTGTCTTGTTTCTCCTTTCTTTAATTCATGCAGCATAACTCTTTATGTTTTTTATTTATTTATTCTTCTTCTCTTTTATTTTTTATATTGTTTAAAATACTCGTCAGGCAGTCTTTTCTAAACCCTAAACCCCAAATTCTAACCCTAAACCCTAAACCCTAAACCCTAAACACTTCTTCTAGCCCTAAACCCTAAACCCTAAACCCTTCTTTCCTTTCATTCTTTTTATTTAAATCTCTTTACTTCTTTCTGTTTTTGTTTGTTTTATTTCTTTTTTGTTTTTATTCTTAGGTCTTGCAGCTCTATCCTTTTTTTATATCTTTTTATCTTTTCTTTTTTGCTTATTAGAGTTAATATAACTGTTGTTTATTTTATTTAAAGTTTTTTTATTATATAATGCTGCTTATTGTCTTTTCTTTTTATTTTATTAAAATATATATTTTATTTTTGTTTGATTTAAATATATTTTATTTTATTTTTGTTTTATTTAAATATATTTTACACTTTACTTTTTTGTATGATTTAATATTTTTTATTGTTTTTTGTTTTTGTTTTGCTTAAATATACTTTAATTTTTATTTATTTGTATTGTTTAAACATATTTTGAAGCCTCTTCTTTTGTTTATTTATAATTAATTTAATATCTTTTATTCTTTTTTTAATTTTGTTTGATTTAAACATATTTTATTTTATTTTATTTATTTTATTTTATTTTATTTTATTTTATTTATTTTATTTTATAAACCCCCTTTATTGTTTTTCTGTTAACTACCGTTTACATTCTGAACAAATAAAACAAACAAAAATAATTAAATTAAATTAAATTAAATTAAATTAAATAAATAAATATAATTAAATTATTTATTAATAGCAACAAAACTCAAGAATTTATTTAGTAGAGAATCTCTCTTGCCTCCTCTCTCTCTCTCTCTCTTAATGGTGTACAAAGAAGAAGAGTAAATATATCTTTATAAAGTATATTTAAATTAAAATATATTAAATTAAATTTAAAATTAATATATTTAAACAATTAAAAATAAAAAAGAAGAGAAAAATACACGGAAAACTAGATCCCCCTGCCTCAGCAGCAACAGCAGCAGCAACAGCAGCAGCAGCAGCAGCAACTGCTGCTGCTGCTGCTGCTGCTGCTGCTGCTAGCGCAAGGCCCTGTTTGTGAAGTATATCGATTGATGCTCTGTTATTTTGTGATTTTTTGTTTGAATTTAAATTATTTGAGTTGTTAAAGCCTATAAAAGATATATATATTATATTATATACTGCTGTTTGCTTCTTAGTTTCTCAGCTGCAGCATCACGATGGAAGCAGCAGCAGAAAAGCCCAATGAAACATCATCAGCAGCAGCAACAACAACAGGAGCAGCAGCAACAACAAGAACAGCAGCAGAAGGAGAAGCAGCTGCTGCTGCTGCTGCAGCAGGGTGGGGTGTACATACAGAAGCCTTTGATGATACATCTTCCTGCAGCACTTCTGCTGCAGTTACAGGTGTATGCGGCGAAGTATTTGGTTTGCTGCTCGGTGCTGCAGCAACAGCAGCAGTTGTCGGCTTTGAAGGTTTGCTGCTTCTTGCTGCTGTTTCTAAACGCTTGCTGCTGCGCAGCTGCTTCGGGGGAGACGAAGCTATTGAAGCAACCAGTCATCAACTTACATACAGCTACGTCACTCCTTATTACCCCTCATCTGCTGCTGCAGCAGCAGCAGCAGCAGCAGCAGCAGCACAAAGACCTGCTGCTGCTGCAACGTACACCCCAACTACTACTCAAAGACTGCTGCTGCCCCGCAGCACCAGCGGTTATTACTCCTCTACGCACAGCACCTTCACCCCGATGCATCATATACACTCAGATCAGTAATTCTAAAAGCTGCAGCAGCAGCAGCAGCAGCAGCAATAGCAGCAGCAGCAGCAGCAGCAGCAGCAATAGCAGCAGCAGCAGAAGAAAGTTTGCTTCGATTTGTTTTGCTTCCCGCGAAAATTTGGGGGGCAGACAAATTAGGAGAAAGACGCTGGGGTGTACAGGCAGCAGATATAAAGTGCTGCTGCAGTGCAGCAGCAGCAGCAGCAGCAGCAGCAGGAACAGTAACTGTAATATACATTCTATCCCACACCTCGTAGCGGCAGGAGCAGCAAATACAGCAGCAACTAGAGCAGCAAATGCAGCAGCAAATAAAGCAGCAACAGCTGCTGCTGCATTTGCTGCACTGCAGCAGCAGCAGCAGCAGCATTTGCTGCTGCAGCGCAACTGCAGCAGCAACTCTCGCTCCTTCTTGAAAGGACCCATCCAGACACACCGAACCCCTGCCGTTGGTGCAGCAGCAGCAGCAGCAGCATCAGCAGCAGCAGCAGCAACAGCACCAACAGCAACAGCAGCAGAAGTGTTTGCAGCAGGTGAAGGTCTGGCTCTGTGGGGAGGGGGACAGGAAGAAGAGACACCTCAATTAAAGCTGCAGCAAATAACTGCAGCAATAAACAAATGCCTCCTCCTGGCACACAATAAACTCCAGCAGCAGCAGCAGCAGCAGCAGCAGCAGCAGCAGCAGCAGCAGCCAGTCCCTCTAAGCTGGCTGCGTGGAGATTAACGCTATCGCTGCAGCAGGAAGACTTGCTGCAGCAGCAACACAGAGCAGCAGCAGCAAGACTTGCTGCAGCAGCAACACAGGACAGGAGCAGCACCCGCAGCAGGACATAACTGCAGGAGCAGCAGCAGCAGGACAGGAAGCTGCATTTGCTGCGATGTTTGCTCGTTTATTTTCTTTCTTTTTTTTGTGTTGTCTTGAAATGCAGAGACAAACTCGCACCCGCCCCACATACTGCAGCAGCAGCAAGACTTGCTGCTGCAGCAGAGCAGTGCAGCAGCAGCAAGGCTTGCTGCAGCAGCAGCAAGACTCGCTGCAGCAGCAGCTAGAATTGCTGCAGCAGCACGGCACTGCAGCAGCAGCAAGACTTGCTGCTGCTGCAGTACCAGTACGACGTGCTGCAGCAGCAAATAGACAGTGGAGCCGCTGCAGCTTGACTTGCTGCAGCAGCAAGACGCGCTGCAGCAGCAGCAGCATATGAATGCAGCAGCAGCAAAATACTATAGAGAAGGCAAGACTTGCTGCAGCAAAAAGGCATTAACTGCAGCAGCAAAAGGTGCTGCAGCAGCAGCAAGACTTGCCGCTGCAGCAGCACAACAC